AGTCTAATAACCTGTGCAATATAGTATACAAAAATAATAGAAAATCTTCAGTGATATACACAACATGGCAACAATAATCAACCAGTGATATACACAGCAAGGCGACAAGAATACCATAAATATAGCACAACAAATAATGAATACAAGTACAACCAATTAATTAAGTCCTTCCAATATATATCTTTTGCCTATATGTTTTCAAATAGAAATCTTCACGATATAATACTTTCAAATAAATTTCTTTCAAATAAATCTCTTTCAAATCTCTTTCTAATATAATTCATTCAAATAAATATCTTTCAAATAAATCTCTTTCGAATAAAAGTCACACTATGACACAACATTTCAAAATTATAAAATACGGGTCTCAGCCCACTTTCATATTTTCACGGAACCTCGTACCAATTTCTTTATCATAACCGCACGGACAACTCACGAGCCAAATATCATCATCATTTAACCACGACACCTCGTGCCCACATTTCATATCACAAATGCATGGACAATTCACATGCCAATATCATCATTATTTACTCACGGCACTTCGTGCCCACATTTCATATCATAACTGCATGGACAGTTCACGTGCTAATATCATCATTATTTATTCACGGCACCTCGTGCCCATATTTTATTTCATAATCCGCCTGGCAATAACCACATGCTCCTAATTTCAACATAGATCAGATTATTATCAATTTACCAACAACAAGACAAATTATACAAGGTATAAAAATAAACACAAGGAAAATCACAACATCACATGAAAATTACCAACACAATAGCCTCACATCATCACATATTATCCCTGACAATAGCCACCCTTATCACTGTTATAATAGCCTCTCTTATCCCTCCGCCCTAACAATATCAATAGCCACTCTTATCGTTCTTATAGCCCCCCTTATCGCTCCGCCCAGACAATATTCCAACACACATAACAATAGTAAAATGCCACCCTTATACCTACATAATATCAACAGTTAAATGCCAACCTTATATCCTCAAAATAATAACTCAAATAACATAATAATTTACACAGAATATTATCACGGCAACATAACAAAATCAATTCATATCACAATTTGCCCAATGGCCACAACCAATTCCAAAGATATAACAAAATCAATTAATTTTACAACAAATAACCCAAGGCTCCACACAATGTGTATAAAACCTCAAAACAACAACAGAGGTGGAAAATACTCAGTATAGGACAACGCCTTCATTAATCCAAATTCTTGATAATTATATAACGCCTCGGTTTAAACTTATTTTATTAATTATTTGCAGATGGAAAATCCATAATATAATTATTTCCAGGAAATATCAAATCATCAAACTCACGGAATTCACATAAATATACAAGCAATAACTACATCAAATTATCATATAAAAATAAATTCAACAAACGCGAATTGAGGCATGAAAAATAGATAATTTAATAAATGCCAATAATTATCCAATTTACTGCACAATATGCCTAAGACTTTAACCCAATCAATTTTGCACATATAAGTCCGAGTACGTACTCGTCACCTCGCGTACACAGCTTTTCAGATTTCACAAATTGCACATAAGACTCGATGCCTAAGGGGTAATTCCCCCACTCAAGATTAGGCAAGATACTTACCTCAAATCATGCTATCTCAATCCAATAGTAGACCTTTCCCTCGATTATCCAACTACGAATGGTTCGAATCTAGCCAAAAATAATTCAATACAGTCAACACAAATTATAGGAATCAATCCCATATGAAAATATTAAATTTTTTAATAAAATCCGAAATTAACTCAAAAATCGTCCATGGGGCCCACGTCTCGGAATCCGACGAAAGTTACGAAATATGAACGCCCATTCAACCACGAGTCTAACCATACCAAAATTACTAAATTCCGATATCAACTCGACCCTCAAATCTTCAATTAAAGTCTTTGAAGATTTCTACCATTTTCAACCTAATCTTTACTCATTTGAACTCAATAATCTTTCCACAAACCTTATTGGTACGTATATGTATAAATAATACTCTTATACCCTATAATCATACTCCCAATCACCCATCCTTACCCAAAAATGGCATTCAATATCCCATTATGACTTCAAATAAAACTCATAAACATGCTACCCATACTCCAATATGACATAAATATGAATCTCAAGTGAAGAGATTACCTCTTGGTGGAAGAATCTCACTTTTCCTCTTTTTGGTATTCTTGAAGATTCAATCCATTTCCTATGAATTTGATCCATAATAATGTTAATGTTATCACTAAATGATGTTATATAATCATCCTTGTGCCAAAACAACTTACCTTGAAGTGTATCCTTGGTGGAAGAGCTCATCCTTCTCTCTGAAAATCAATTCCAAGTTGAAGAACTAATATTTTCTCTTTCTAAACCCCTTGTTTCAGCCCCTTTAAAATGCCCCTTGAAGCTGCGTAGGCTACGCACAAAGGCTATGCTGGATAGACTTCTATCCCCCTTCAGTTGGAAGCTGCTCGATTTGCCTACGCAATGGTGTGTAGGCTACGCTACTATGTTGCGTAGGCTACACAAGGCTCGGGTAGCTGTTCTGCCACCCTTTAGTAAAAAGGTAATAACATTTCGTAGGAATCTCCAAATGACAAACGGTTTGAAGCATTAGAAATTAGACACATAGACCTTTCTTTTGATAGGTTATATACCATATAACTCTTCATATATTGAGAGTTATGCTCGTTTGAATTTAGGTCTTATGCGAACTCACTTGAAACTTTACTCTATCGTATAATTTCCAACTTGACTTAGCCTTGGGGCTCTTCTTAGACCATAAACCATTCTTAATACACCTCATACATATATTATTATGATAAATTAATATCATTTATAGTATTAGTCTTGCTCATACCCGAATTAATATAATTAGTACCTGCCAATCTTCTTAATGGTCCTAAAATACTTCGAAATTTTTTTCCGAGTGTTACAGGTTGCCAGAATGGTGGTGTGCCCAGATCTGAAGGTGAATCGTGTGAACAAATTAAAAAATTAAAAGAATAGTTGACCGAAAAAATTTCCGACAGAAGGTATTAAGTTTCCGGCTAGAAGTATGTGGAGTTTGCTTTATTGGATGAGTTCACGCGCTTGAAAAATGTGAGAAATATTTAGGTTGCCATGTCAGCACTTTAAAGTGTTCAAATGAAAGAAACTTAAAATAGAGTGTTTAAGTGAAAAGTGTGAACAATTTTAAGGGGTTGTCGATGTATTTTGTCATTTTTCAATATAACAAACATGAATAAGCAGCTACAAATTCGTTTGTTTTTACTTTTGACTTTGTGATAGGAAAAAAAGAAAGGAGAAAAGAACACGTAGTATTAAATAGAAACAATAAATTTTACTCCTATAAGTTATAGCAGCACATGTTGCTTTATTAAACAAATGCGACTTATCAAAACCAGAAACATCAAAGACCATTCACCATAATTTTCAGATGACCAAACAGAATAATATTCTACATACAGTTTGCTTGAGCAATTAAGAAAATATCATATGCAGGAAATGTTGGAATTATTTTAAGAAACATGGGCAAATATCTTAAGAAAATGTCATATGGCAAATATCTTAAGAAAACAACGAGACTAGAAATAAAGTAACTTAATCAACACAATGCATTTGAACTATCTTTTTTGCAAATTTCAATTATTATGCTAGGGAACATTGGACGAACAAGTTCGATCCCCGATGATATGAGAAGCAATGCACTTTTCACTTTCCCACATTCATAAAATTTTCATTGAGAAATAATCAAGTGCACCTATTCTCAGAAACATGTTATGCACCAAGCAGGGGCATAAGCACGAACTTTAGTAAGCGATATCAAGATGTGAACAAATAACTAAATCACTTTAACGACCAGCGGTGTTATATTTAATATTTATACTCAATATCATAACTAGTAAAAAAATTCGAAGAAGCAGTATCACGGGACACCACTTGAGACTTGGTATATATACCCCTCGCACCAGACCATAATACTACCTAACCTTACAACATAACAAAGTTTTCTATTATCTGGCACCAATGCTGGCCGGAGGTAGTGAGTATCCCATGAAATTAGTCGAGGTGTGCCTAAACTGGGCTAGAAACCATAATTATTAAACAAAAACGAGTTTGCTATTTATGGATAAACCCAAAACTCAAACAACTGGGACATCCCAGTTTCAAGTAAACTTTAACTATTTTACCACCTGCAGTTTGACCCCATTTTCTCATCCACAAGAAACCTAATCTATAATCTTCTTACGACATGTAATTTTCTCTCTACTGTGTCTCATCTATCGAAGAGTTCTAACATATCCAACCACAAACCCTTAAATATACCATCGCACTAAATCCCAACTCACGACGCAAAAGTCCAGTCCTTTATGATATTGCAAACTGTAAAAAGCTCTAATCATCAGATTTTGAATCAATTGATTAAGACTTCAGAGTAATAACTATCAATTCAGCTAGGCATCCTTCCACTGAACTAAAAGCTGAAGAATAAACAGTGCATTACTCGTAGACTATACTAGCAATAATAAGTAAAAGAGAGGGGGATTTAACCACTTCTTTCTAAACAAAGAAATGTCTCCTGTTGTTTCTCTGAAAACATGAAATAAGGAAGCTGACAGCTTTGGTAAAAACATCTTGAAACAAAAAAACTGGCGAGCAATAGATAAACTAATAAGAATAAGAGGTTGTAACATGATAATAGAAAAAAGAAAAAGTGCCTCGATCATACATAAGCAAATGCTAAGTAAGTAGTTTTGGAGAGATAAATCTTTCTGTAAAAGCGAATCCATTCTGAAAGGTATCAGCTTGAGGCCACAATCCACTACATTGAAGATCTAAGCACCAGAATAACACTTCATCTTTGGGAAACCTATATTTCGGTAGGGGTGAAAAAATCTCGGGATCTCCTACGGTAAACAATGCACTCCAGGATTTTTTGACACCATAATCTTTCATTATCCACAACTTAAAAAGTATCCCCTCCCACAAAATTAGAAGTAGAATAAACACATAGCATTCCTTCCAATACTGAAATGCCAATACCGATGTTGCTCATCAAACATATTTGCTCCGGCAATGGCATCTCTCCGTACACTTCATTTGAAATATTAAATGAAACCACATAATAATTTCTTGAAATGCCTATCCAATGAAATGCCACATGTACAAATGCCAAAGAATGCATAGCAGACAACATACTGCGAATGCCATGAGGATGTTTATCAATTTTTTTCCACGAACCACTTTTCAGCGCGAGAATTTCACAAGGTATTTCACAACCAAAATCTTCTACCTCCATAATCTTAAGGATCTTATAGTCACTTCTTGAGTCATAACCCATTCCCAAACAAAAAATTCCGCCGGGTTTTGGATAAGGAAGTACTACTGATTGTCGTGTGGAGGGATTCCATAGCAAAAGTATGGAGCATTCATCAGCAATATTATCGGATACGTCGACAATAGCCAAGCCATCACAACCACAATAGCTTGAGCAATACAACGGTTCACAAACTGAAGGGAAATTAAGTTTTCGTACATCTTCAACCAGTTGATTCGACGATAAAGGACAACAATACATGGAAAATATACCATCCTCAGGGCCCAATTCGCAGATGAACATTCTTTGGGAATTTTGGTCATTCTTGGCATGATTGAGATGCTTCCTCGCAAAGTAAGGCTCGGAGATCAATGTTTTCCAAGATTTGGAAACACAATTGAATCGAAGAAGAGACCGCGCGGTAACCTGCTGAGGATGTACATAATTATTTCCTCCTGAAAGTGAATTCCCATGGCTTAGATATGATAAAAAGTGCTACGTATTAGATAATTTCAACTAGGGGCGGAGCTAGTGTTGGTCGCGGGTTAGGCTGAACCCATTAGCTTTTGTTCAAACTCTATATTTGTATTAAGAAATTCAATAAATATGTACAAATTATTAATTTAGAACCCAATAACTTAAAAGGATTATAATCCCGAATCCATAGCCGCGTCTGATTTCAACCCATGTTCATCTAACAATATAATTTAAGTAAATTAAACATGGGAAATATACTTTTTAGCCATAGAAATAAACACAAATAAAATTTAAGTTCAACCAATAATAAATCCCGATAAATAAACTCAATTAGATACACGCTGAACTCACCTGATCAATTGGAGCTTCTCTATTGCTGCTTTCAATGAAAAGATATGGCTTTTTTGTCATCTTTGGAGCTTCGGATTGAATGCTAGGGTTCTTAGAGCAACTACGCTAGCGTTTGACCATAGATTCCCAAATTTGGTTTGAAAATTCTGATTTGGGTGAAGTTTGATTTGGAGATGAAAATGTGTTTGGACATGATTTTTCAAAACATATTTCACTTTTTATTTGAAAAAACATGAAACATGACTTATACCCACAAGTTCCAAAAACTATCACAAATACCCAATAGTACCAAACAAACAAACTTGCTATCTTGTATATACATAACCTTCATTACTCAGATTACACATAGGAAGTCATTACTCATATTACACATAGGAAGTCATTACTCAGATTACAATCATGCCTACACCACAACGTACAACTAAAATAATTAGCATCAGTGTTTCATGCATTAGAGTACAACATAACAAAATGAAAATAACAGTTAGCTCAATTTTTCTTTAAGTCGTCAAACCATTCGACTTGATTTTTTTCGGTCATATGAACGAATATCTTGCGAAAGCTGGGGTTAAGCAAGAAAGGCACTGCTGGTGAAAATTTTTCGTCAGCTAAACCATGTTTTTGCAAGACAAATTGCAAGTGGGTAGTCACAGCTTCTTCAGAGTAGATATCAATCTCAGTTTCTTTCGAGAGCAGATACAAAGAAAGAAGCAGGAACAAGAGCAGAAATTGAGGTAATTATTTAAATGTGGGATCTTTTATAAACTATAAAAGTTTGGGGTAATATTTAAAAATTTTAAAAAATGTAATGGCCATGTTTTAGCCCAAAATCAGCAATTGAAGTGATTTTGGGATTTGAGATTTGGGATCTTGTCAAAATGTGGGCAAAATCTATGGCCAAACATGTGTTTGCCAAATAAATTCCAAATTTATTTTGGGAAAACTCATGGTCAAACGGTCCGTATACAACTTCACTCCAACCCTCCCCATTTTGGGGAGTAAATAGGGTGTCCCCAAATTTGGAACACACTATTCACCTCCCAATTTACTATTCTTCATTAAAATATTTTTTATTTATTTAATCTTTTAATTTATCTTTATATATATAATTAATTATGTTTATATAATATATTTACCTAATTAATTTTTCATCTTAACTTTGACGTTATAATTTTGAAAAATTAATTATCGTGCATCTATTCTTTTATGTAAAATTGGTAGTTAATTTTATTATGAGTTATAATTGTATGAAAAAGATATAACCATCACAAAAAATGAAAGGTGCAAATATAAAATATTTGATGTTGCTAAAATTGGAAATATATTAAAATTGAAAATACATTAAAATTGAAAATACATTAAATTAAAATACATTAAAATTGAAAATATATTAAAATTAAAAATACATTAAAATTGAAAATACATTAAATTAAAATACATTAAAATTGAAAATATATTAAAATTGAAAATACATTAAATTAAAATACATTAAAATTGAAACTACGTTAAATAACATAATAATTTAGTAGCGAGACATTTCGTTTTTAGGTACACCAAAATTATTATAGTACTAAGTGAATGGGACAGATGATTGTTGTGGTTGTGACTGTTATGGTTGTTGACTTCTTTTATACATTATTTGTTGTGGTTCTTGCAGCAAATATTCAAGACGATCTGGATTCAAAACAGAATCCACATCCGAATAGTTGTATGCATCCCAATTAGATACCTTTGCATTATTGTATGCATCTACAACTCGAGACCAAAATTAATCTCTAGATTGATAGACGCCCGTTATTGGATCTTGAGAAATATCTAAATACATTTGGCATAATAGAAGATCTTCATCTACAGACTATCCTACAGATCGAATGGATTTTTTTCCTAAGTGATTAGAGGAAAAGTGAATTATATGTGTTGCAGTATTTGCACGATCAAAATAATGATGCTATCAGAGTTGGCTCTGTTCCTGGTCATGTGGTAATCAATCGAGATCGTGAAGGTTCTGATAATAATTTATTTATGGATTATTTTTAAGAAAATCCACGCTATAATGATCTCCAGTTTCGTCGTAGATATCGGATGTCCCGTAATTTATTCCTCCAAATAGTTGATGAAGTTAAAACTCATGATATGTACTTTGTACAACGTGCCGATGCTATGTGTAGATTTGGATTATCTACTCTGCAAAAAATTACAGCCGTGTTTAGAATGCTGGCATACAGTTTGCCAGCGGATGCCACTGATGAATATATGAAAATTGGAGAGTCGACTGCAATTTAGAGCCTGAAGAGATTTTGCCGAGCTGTCGTAGAGGTTTTTGGCGAGCATTATTTGAGATCACCAACACCTAACGATGTTGCAAGGCTTCTGCACATCGGTGAACAACGTGGCTTTCCAGGAATGCTAGGCAGTCTAGATTGCATGCATTGGAAATGGAAAAATTATCCAACAGCATGGGCTGAACAATATACAGGTCGTAGTGGATCCCCAATAATTATTCTTGAAGTTGTGGCTGATTATGACCTTTGGATATGGCATGCATATTTTGGTATGCCCGACACCAATAATGACATTAATATTTTAGAGTCATCACATTTATTTTTTGATTTTGCTGCAGGTACTGCTCCTCCCGCCCATTATGTTATTCAAGGACAAGAATATAATATGGGTTATTATTTAGCTGACGGTATATATCCAAAAAGGTCAACCCTTGTGCAAACTACTCGTGATCCACGTTCGGCAAAAAAGAAATATTTTGCGATGAAACAAGAATCATATCGAAAAGATGTTGAACGTGCATTCGGAGTTTTGCCACAACGTTTTGCAATTGTTGCAGGACCGTCACGTTTTTGGCAAAAAGAATTGCTACATGATATAATGACTACATGTATTATACTGCACAACATGATAATCGAGAATGAGCGTGATCTTAATGCACCAATTCAAAATGATTTGGAAGGTCCACCTCCAACAATAGAAATGACAGTAGATGAAAATCAATGATATCAAGAATTTTTAGCTCGACATAGAAGAATTAAGGACAAAGATATTCATTTTGCAATTCGTAATGCATTAATAGATCATTTATGGGAGAATACTAGAGGTTGAAGTTGAATATTTATGTAGTATTTCGAATGAATTTTATCGTTATGTAATATGTATTTAATTAATCTTGTATCGCAATGATTTCACTTTTATTTGAATTATTTGTTAATCTATAATAATTGCCTACAAATTATATTATTTAAAATTTTATGAAATTGTTTTAATGAAAATTACAAATTAATGAAAATAAAAGATGGAATTTATTTAATGGAAATTAAAAAATAAAATTGAAATGAAAGATAATAATATAATATAGAAGAGAGAGAAGAATATAAAAAAAAATATTCTCTTTTGGGAGGAAAAAATGGGAGAATGGTTGGAGTAAGTTGTCCCCAAAATGGGAGTAAAGGTTGGAGATACCCTTACACAAATGTCTCAAATAAGTCTCAACTTACCAACCTCTAGCCATTAGTCATAGACTTACCAAAACTAGCCAAACACATATAAAAATTAGAAAACCAAATAAATAAGGTTCTTTCTGTCAAAGAACCACATGCAAAAATCACCTTCCATATTTTTAAGCGTGATTAGCAACATTAGGTGCTAGACGGAAATGAAATTTCATGAATGAGGTAGCAAATAAGGTGATGAAATACAAAAAATAAATATACAATATTCCAAAAATCTAAGTAAAAAAGGAACTTTTTCAATGGGTATAATTGAAATTCATTGAAAACATATAGATAAGTCAATATACAAAATTTGAGGAAGATTGGAGGTGATTTGGACTGATTTTATATCAAAATTCGTAATTAAATCGAGTTCAAAATATTCTTATGCGTCGCATGTATCACGCATGTATCTCACACACAAGTATACATAGATATACATGTGATACACAATTGATACAAATATGATACATATGTGATACATAAATGATACACATATCATTTTTTTCATGTTCAGTTTTTAATTCGAATTTTCAATTAAAACTACCTCAAAACTTCACAAAATCATCTCAAATATGAGATTCAAGCTATTTAAGATATACCTAATCTATTCTAATAACACACACTCAAAAGAAAGCAAACATTTGACATTTTTTGCTACAAATAGCTAATTTTCTAATATTAGTAATATTTTATGAATTGACCAATTTTGTAATGAGCTACTTATAAATGGACATAACCGGTAGTTTTCCATTTTTATATTGCTGATAGTGTGCCCGGTTCAGAATGAGAGCTCGGCCGGTTCTAGTTTTTTTTTTTCTTAAATAAAAAACTCTTTTTAAACTGTAGCAAATTTCTTTTTTCTCTTTTTGTTTTGTTAATTTTACTTCTTGCATCTTAAAATCATTCACATTACAACAGTCTGTCTAACCATGTAGTAATAATACGTTGAGTTTTGTTTCTTATCTTTTATAGAAATTCTGCTAGTTCAAAAAGTATATGAAAAAATCAAAATCTCATAGGCTAATTATTATATTTAGTTGAACCGAAAATTGCGAAAATCATAATAAAAGAAAAAATAATTTGGTTCTTCAAATAATAATTATGTTGCATAAATTAAGCGAACACGTAGAATACCAATAAAAAAAATGCCTAGTATTATTATAACCAGTTAAATTCAATATCATTAGCAATGGAATATGAGGAACAATACATGCCTGTTACCAATTAGCAAGAACAAATTACAATAAGCTACAAAAATTGAATATCCATGCCTCCCATTTGTCTCGTATAATCTCTTGTGATTGACTAGTGGTGGCAAAATGGATAAAAATTTATTTATCCATATTATTTATTAAAAAATGGGATGAATAATGAACTTCTTAAAAATAAGTTAAATATGGATAAAATCCATATTATCCACTTAAAAAATGGATAACGAATGGGATTAACTTTTACATTTGCAAAGACTCAAATTGAGAGCTCCTCGAATTTGAGAGACTAGTAATTCTGTCAAAAGTGATCGTATTCAAGAAGCTAAATAATATGAATATCCATATTTAT